GGTGAGGCCGGGGCAGGTGAGCGCAGAGCCAGGAGAGGAACCTAGGCTCACCAAGTCTGCTGCTGCAGCTGTACTCACAGAAGAGGCTTAGGGCAGAGGCCTGGGGCCGGAGCCCGGGACCGGGTGGTAGGGCCTGCAGTCTGGGAAGGGGATGCGGCGCCTGCTCCCCGTCTCAGCAGCACACACCCAAGCCTTGACACAAGACCTTTGCCCAAAGCTCCACTTCCTCCCTACCAAGCTGGTGTTGTAACCAGCAGCTGCAGCGTGCTTACCAGAAGCCTGGAGGCTGTCCCTGCTTTTGCCCACGCCCCAAATCCCTCCGTCCAGTGGCCGCGAATTTCCCTCAGCTCTGCCCAGTCTCCCTGCCTCCACGGCACTGCCCGCGGCTGCTTGGGTGACCACAGTGGCCCCCTTCCTGCCTGCTCCGCAGCTCTTTCCCCACCGAGCCATCCCCGCGCTGCCTCCCTTACAGCCCGTCTAGGACTGAGCAAGACCCTCAGGATGAAAACGAACTCCGATGCCACAGCCAGGACCTGCCCCCCGCCCCCGCACATACTGCCCCTCCGTCTCCAGCCCCACCTGCAGCTCCTTCCGTGGAGCACCCTGCCCTGCGGGGCCAGAGGGCTCTTCCCACCCCGACCCCTCCTCCACCAGCGTCCACTTCCCCAGAGGAGGCCGCTCTGGGCCCACTGCGTCCAGCTGCCTGCCAGGCTTTCTCCCCGCACCGCGCGGTGATCGATGCCCAGCTGCTCCCCACTCCAGGCCAGGCCCATAAGGCATGGACAGCGCCTGAGTACGACCAGCGCTAAATCCCCGATTTCTTTTTTTCCTGTTCTATTTTTTAAATTTTTTATTTTAATTCCAGTGTGGTTAACATACAGTGTGCTGCTAGTTTCAGGTGTACCATATTGTGATTCCAACACAGGACCTGCCACTAGCCGGGGCTCCGAACACAGTTTTGGGAGGACGGAAGCGCTGGTACCCGATATAGATGGCACGTCAGTCAGATTTCTCGGGTATGAAGATATTTATTTTCAGGAACTGGTTCATACAATTGTCCATATCTGCAGGCCAATGGCCTGGACACCGAGGCAGGGCCTCCGGGACAGCACTGAGGCCAACATGCTCTTTTCCTGGAAAACCCCAGCTTTCTGCTCTTAAGGCCTTCAACTGATTAGATGAGGTCTGCCCACATGATTGAAGGTGACCTCCTTGACTTAAAATCAACGATTGTGGATGTTAATCACACTACAAAATACTTTCACAGCAATGTCTGAACCAGGGTTTGACCAAGCACGTGGGCACCCAGCCACGCTGAGCCATCAATTTAACCAGCCCAGATGCATCAACCCCAGGAGAGGCCAACAGTGAAGCCAGGCCGGATGGTACAGGCGACCCGGAAGGCCGTGAGAGGCTCGTTTTCCCACGCCAGAGGATGGGATGTCCTACAAACAGCAGAGGGTGGTGAAGAGACGTCCGGCCAGGCCTCCAGGGCCAGGGCGACTCAGCCAGGATTACAGCGTAGGGTGTCGGAGGAGGGTGGGGGCAGGCCCCCACTGTGAGGTCCAGGTAGAATGTTCAACTCAGGCTGACTCCAAGCCCATCCCCGCCCCACCTGCCTACCAGGAGCACGCCCTCAGGCTTAGACCTGGGCTTCGCCGTCCTCTCCGCCTGAGCACAGATGGCTACAGAGCCAGTGCAGACCCCTGGGACACCGCCTTGCTTAACTCCCAAGGTCAGGCCCCCCAGGATTGCTGTGTAGATAGCTTTTAAAAAAGAGAGCGTGCTGAGGACTCATAGGTCTGAATTCTCGGAACCTGACAACCTGACGAGGGGCATGTCTTGGGTTCTTGAAGGACCACAGGCACGAAAATTCAAGGAGTCAGAGAACAGAGGTGTGGGCACAGAGGGCTGCCATGGGGGACTTGGAATAGGGGAGCCTGAGTCGCCAGAAATGGAAAGTCCAAGCTATAGAGAGCCAGGTGCTTGGACCAGGGAGCTCCTGGGCCGGCAGTCAGAGAAAGGCTTTGAGCACCTGGGTTGGAAAAAAGTAGGGCCAGTGTCCAGGTATGGAGGGTGGAATGTCCCCAGGAGAAGACTGACAGAGGCTGACAGGCTAAATCCAGGTGTGCCCAACCTCCCAAGGAAAGGGCCCCTGGCCAGGAAGGTGCGCGATTAGCTTTCATTCAACAGCTACTCACTGGTCACCTACCTGTTGTGCCCCTGGGCCCTTTGCGGGCTGCTGGGGAAGTGCCCAACCCCCAGCCTCACTGTAAAGTGAGGCATACGGAGGCAGCAGCTACCAGCACAGAGCCGGGTAAGCGCCACAGTAGAGACATGGCCTCAGGGAAGCCTAGAGAGCAGAGCTGAGCTTGCTGGGGCGGCAGGAAGCTGGACAGAACAGGCACCTGCAGAGTGAATGTGGCCCAACAGAGGAAGCGTCGGTGATTCCAGGCCAGGGCAGGACCTGGGCACAGCCTGGAGGCATGCAGAGCAGAGAGATCAAGGAGGGGGGCACAGCCTCTGACCTCACAATACCCAGAGCCCACTGGGCCCGCCTTGCAACTCGCAAACTCTGGTGCCCTCCTCCAACCCGGGCAAGGCCCGGGGCCCTGGGCAGTCTCCAGGTGCAGTGCCCTCCCTTGGGCGGCACCCGTCCCACTGCCCCGGGGCATGTCTCTACTCACCAATTATGAGGGGCTTCGGCATCAGATCGAGAGGCTGGTGAGGGAGAATGAGGAGCTGAGGAAGCTGGTACAGCTCATTCGGGAGAATCACGAGCTCAAGTCGGCGATCAGGACACAAGCGGGTGGCCTGGGCGTCAGCGGGTTCAGCTCAGGGCTTGGCGAGGCGGCGGCCAGCCCTCCTCAGCGCCCGAGAAACTGTAAGACAGTGAGGAGGGAGGGTGGGTCTCAGGAAGCCCCGGAGAGAGGGCACAGACAGTAGCCACCTGCTGGGACAGGGGCCCCAGCAGGTGAGGCGGGGGGGGGGCACATGGGCCACGGGGGTGGAAGTCCCACCCGCCCCGATGGCCGGAGCCCGGCCTCTGCTCCCCTCAGCCGGACTTCCAAGCAGCCCCAAAGACTGAGAACTTCCTAGCTCTGGAATCCAAATGTGCTGCCCTACTGGGCCCAATATGTCACTCCCTTCGGCCTCCCCGCCCCTCAGCACCCCCATTCCTCTGCGCCTAGAGGTGGCCAGGAGGCAAACAACAGCCCAAGTCCAGGAGCCAGGGTCAGAGGCCAGGATGCAAGCTGAGCTCTGGGAGGCATTAGTGTGTGACCGAGCCCTGGGGCCGCAGAACATCTACAGGTCAGGGTGACACAGAAGAGGCAGGGAAGCCACGAGTGATACGTGGGGACTGAGCCAGGACGGCTCCCAGAGGCCAGCAGGCCAGGGACGCTGCACAGCTGGGTGTGGTGATAGGAACAGGGAGGTGCGGGAAGGACGGAAAGCAGGGGCGGAAACCGGCTGGCACTGAAGATAACGGAGGGAGACTCTGGCGGTGGCCGTGTCCCAGGGCAAGGCAGTAGGAGTCAGTGGCTGACTGCGTCAGCGAAGGTCACACTGGGGGGCGAGCAGGTGATAAAATCCTGTGGTTGTCACAGCACACCCTCCCCTCCCTACAGCGTCCTCCCTGTGCCAGAGAAGGCCGTGCGCCCTCCGTTCCAGTCACAGGCCCTGCAGCCCGCCCTCCGCAGGCCCCTCTGGCCCCAGGCAGGCCTGGAACTACCCTTGTCCCCCGAAAGGAGGACTCCGCTCTTTCGCTGTCCCTGCCGACTGGGCCTCTGCAGCTTGACAGCGGACCCCGACACTCAGTGGTAGTGGTTCTAGAAGGGTCATGGGTGGCTTCCTAAGTGCCACATCCTTCTAAACCTCTGCTTGGAATTCGGGACTGATAACGCCCCTCCTTCTGAGTTCCAAGAGCACCCTCGGCCAGGGCATCCACCCCCGGCTCACGTCAGGCCCCACTGCTCCCAGGTTGGCTCAGGCCTGTCCTCCACCACCAGCCCTCCCATCACCACTGGCTTCAGTCCCCTACCAGAAGTGGAGGTCCCTGCACAGGGTCTTGCAGGCCCAGCGACTCCCTGGCACTCAGCTCAGGCTAAACCACAATGTTTCTGACTAAGAACTGGCCTTTCCACCAGGATGCTAAACCCTGTCAGGTCTGTGCTCCTGCCCCTACAGTGCCACTTCCGGCTCGAGGCCTCCTTCCCCTGACTCTTGAAAGCTGCCTCCCTCGGATCCCTACCCACTGGCTTCCCTGCTATTCAACCTGGCTGTTCATCCAACCCACCCTCACACCCCCCCCATACTGACCACAAGAACACAGGCCCCTCTCCTTTGAAAGGCTTTCCTATAAGGACGGAGACAACAGGCTGAGAAAAATAAAGACCGGGGGAGGAACAAAATTTAAGAAATCTCAAAGTTTAAGAAAAAAGTAAGTCTTCTCCTTTTAGGCTGGATTCTTAAAAGAATCCTTGGACCACTTCAGGTTTCCCACCTCCTGGAGGATCCAGCTTAGACGGTTAGGAAGGCTTTCTGAAGGTGAGCCCCGTAGTGACGGGAAGACATTACAGGATGAAGAGCACCTCATGCAAAGGGTAGGACCAGGGGCCTGCAGGAACGTGAAACAGCGGTGTGGTTAAAGCCCAGGCTGCGTGTGTGTGAGTGTACTGTGTATGAGTGTCCGTGTGGTTGTATCTGTGAGTGTGAGTGTCCGTGTGGTGGTTGTACCTGTGAGTGTGGGGGTGTCAGGGCCGGTGAGAGGTGAACAGCGTGGTAACGAGGTCAGCAAAGGTCAGATCAGCAAGGACAACAGGGGACTTGCTCTTAAAGGCAGCAAGCAGTGCCGGGAGGTTCCTGGCAGAGTGACCAGCTTTATGCTTCAGAAAGATCACTCCTGCTGCAGCGGGAACGGGATTCGAAGGAGACCAGGGCGAGGCAGGGAGCCTGCGGAGGCTCTCACAGTCATCCAGGTGGGGGCCCATGGTGGGAATGCGGGGTGCAGAGAAATCAACTTGAGTTATTTAAGAAAATGAAGTGCCTGGATGTGAGGGATGGAAGAGGGAGTTCCGGCAGAGGTGGCCAGGTGACGGGTGCTGTGACCTCCCGAGACCGCAGAAGTCTCCGTCCCCTTACCCAGCCAAGGAGGATCCCTGCAGTGGCCTCACAGGAACTTTCTCTGGCTACTTCCTTGTGCTGCCTTCTCCCCTGCCGGCTCCTTGTGACTTGCCTCTCTCGTGGAATCAGGCTTCCGTTCTTGATTTGCTCTTGTGAACTCAACCTCAACCTCCAGTTCCTCTTTCTGGGATCCCTTGCGCTCTGTGTCCTCCTAAACCCTGCGGTTCCCAGCTCTGGCCGCGCCCCCCCCCCCCAGAAGGCCTGCAGGAGGAAACACAGCCTGGGCTTGTGGGTGCTCATGAGCGGCCCGGGACCACCCTGGCTGGGAACCCACGTGACACCTGCGTGGAGCAACCACAAATCTGACACTCCGGGAGAGGTCAGGGCCAGAGGGAGAAGGTTCAAGAGTTGATCCCTGAAGCCACAGGAGGGGAGCACAGAGACAAAACCTCCACGGGTAAGGTCACGGAGGCACAGCTTCGAGGGAACGGGGCATCAGCAGGGTGCGAGCTGCGGAGGGGGGCAGGCAGGAGAAGCGCTAAAGACGTGGGGGGCCTCTGACGACCTGGTGGGAATGAGCCTGGTTAGACTTGAGCCCCACCAGACGCAAGAGGCCCACGCCGCGAGGGCAAGAGCGACGCGTGCCAGAGGGGACGGATAGGGGCTCGGTGCCCGCTTCCGAAGCGTGGCCGCGGGCGGGCGGCAGCTAGACCAGGAGCTGCAGTCAAGCTGCTCAAGCCAGCAGAGACCGGAGTTTGTTACCTTGAGGCGGGAAGAAGCCCAGAAAGACGCTGGAAGGTGCGGAAGAGAACAGGGACACCTCCCAGAGGGGAGGAGGGCAGGCGGCTGAGGAAGCTCCAGAACCGGGGCTTCCATCTTCCCGGTAAAAATGACATTCTCTGAGAGCTGAAGAGGAGAACGGTCTGAAACGGAGTGAGCCCGGTGGAAGGAACTGAGGGCGACCCCAGTACCTCTGTGGGTCTGGGCAGGGAGCTCGACGCTGCGGCTGGCGTCTTGTGGACCCTAAAGGCAGCGGCCACCAACCTGCCCCAGCAGCCCTGCTGCGGCTGGGGGAGGGGCGGCAGGGACGCTCACTCGCTGGCTGCGGGTACCTGGAACAGCAGGCGATGACATTGACGACATCATGGCTGTGGCCGCAGGAACCTCACAGGGAAAAAACAGGAGCCAAGAGGTTCAGGCCTGGCCCCATGAACGTGGCAGGCGGCCCGAAGGGCCAGGCTGGGATTAGGACTTCCAGGCCTCGGGCTCCCGGGGGTGGGGGGGCTCCGTTGCTCTTTCCACCTGGTCCCTTCCCCCACTCCTCCTTCACCCAAGGCCGCTCTGGCCCCCAGCCCCCGCTGCCTGCTGCCCTCTCTGTCCTCTCTTGGGGGCTGCAGGCTGCGGGAAGCTTCCCGAGACGGGGACAGCCTACTTCCTCTTTCCGGAAGGGCCTCTCACCACCGCTGCTCCCCACCTCCCTGCCCCTGCGCTTCCCCCAAACCAGGGGCTTCCTTCCTGCCTCAAAGTCTGTCCACCCTCTCAGGGCCTTCTCCGACGTCCCCAACCCTCGCCCATCCCTCCTCCACAAGAACCGCAGCTGCCCCCCAAAACTCTGCTCACAGCCCTCTCCCTCTCAGGTCCAGGGTCCCCAGGAGCCGACGCTCAGCACCCTAGATCTATCCTCCCAGGACCCGTCCCCCTCGGGACCTGTGCCCCTCGGGCCCGTCCTCCTCCTCGGGACGGTACCCCACCCGCGCTCCAGGACCCACCACCCCTCAGGGCCGGTCCCCTCTCTCGGGACCAGTCATCAACCCCCCTCGCTCTTTCTCCCTTCCCGCCGCCTCAGCGCTCTTGGAACCCTCAGCTAGCGCCCCTGCGCTCACCGATCCCCCTCTGTGCACCCAGCCACCCACTCCACCCTCCCGGGTCAAAACTCACAGCCCCGGGGCCCTAGCCCCGCCCCTACGCGGAGCCCCGCCTCCGCCTCGGTCTCCCGCGGGAACCTGACTCCGCGAGCCCGCTGTCTGCACGCCGGGGGCGGGGTCCGAGGCGGGGGGCCGCGGCGGTGGGCGGGGCGGGGGCGGGGTCCGAGGCGGAGGGCCGCGGCTGTGGGCGGGAGGCCTGTGGGGGGCCTGGCGCTCCACCACCACGCCCCCACCAGCCCGGGACCGAAGTGGGGAGGCGGCGCGAAGCAGGGGCTGCCGCTGGGAGGAGCAGGTTGGGGGTGGTCAGCAGTTCAGTAAAGCAGTTTAAAAACATTGTAAAGTGCGGGGGCCTGGGTGGCTCAGTTGGTTAAGAGACTGCCTTCCGCTCAGGTCATGATCCTGGAGTCCCCGAACCGAGTCCCGCATGGGGCTCCCTGCTCAGCGGGGAGCCTGCTTCTCCCTCTGACCCTCCCCCCATGTACTCTCTCTCATTCTCGCTCTCTCAAATAAATAATAAATAAATAAGTCTTAAAAAAAGACATTGTAGGGCGCCTGGGTGGCTCAGTTGGTTAAGCGACTGCCTTCGGCTCAGGTCATGATCCTGGAGTCCTGGGATCGAGTCCCGCATCGGGCTCCCTGCTCAGCAGGGAGTCTGCTTCTCCCTCTGACCCTCCCCCCTCTCATGTGCTCTCTCTCTCATTCTCTCTGTCTCTCAAATAAATAAATAAA